AAAAAAAAAGAAAACGGACAATGTAGACCTAACAACAACAACAAAGCAGACAACCAGAGTCTGTAATGCAGCTAAACAACCGGCTGAGCAGACTAGTCCAGTCCTGTCTCTTCACTTTGCCTCTCTTCACTTTGCCTCTCTCCCATTCTTCCTCCTGCAGCCTCCATGGGACTATCTCATGCTCTTTTCCTACAATCGCAGGGAGCATGTTACAGCTGCAGTAATAGCACATGACAAGGTGACCTGTGCCCCACACAGGATGGGCTAAACTGGGGTTGGAAAGGGTGGAGGGTCCCATGTCCCGTGTCCAGCCCTATGGTCTCTGTAACCCCCTCCCCACCTCACGCTCCCCCAACACCCAGGCCCCTCTGCTGGCCAGCAACGAGAGAGAGAGAGAGAGAGAGAGAGAGAGAGAGAGAGAGAGAGAGAGAGAGAGAGAGAGAGAGAGAGAGCGAGCGCAAGAGAGCTGCAGTGACGGCAGGCTGCCCCCCTTATGCTGGGCCCCTTGCTGGACTCTGGAGGGGAAAGAGACGAGGCAAGGAGAGGCCCACTCAAACACACACCAAAAGTCTTGTTTATGTCTATGTTGAATTTGACAGAAAAATGCACATTCTCTAGCACACGGAGTCACACACGCAGAAAATCCAACTGGACAGAACCGGACACACTACAGACATGTGGGTGAGGTGGATGCAAAAACACTTAGCCGACATGTCAGGTTATATAACCACCATAAAATGCTCTCTCTCATTCAGGAAATAGTCCTATTAAAAGACATAAACTTAAAGAATTCACTGTTTGTATTTCTATAAAGAAGTCAGATTTTGAAAGGTGAAGAAATGTACAATGCCATTAAAATTTTGTACTTTACCTATTTATATACTAAAATAAACAGGGAAAAAAACAAACAAACAAACCACTACACGCAAACTGCCCCAGTTAAAAACAATGACACAGTTTGCTTTCCAGGAAGAATTCATTTCAGCATGATGCGCTCCATATACATCATGTTACCTGTGTGATGCTTCTGGCCTAGAAAGCATCAACCACAAGATGTAAAAGAGGACCCAAAGACATTAGTGGGAACTTAACACTTAATTAGTCTTACAGGCAACAGAACATAAGTGTCAAAAAGCGTGCATGCGCAGAGGTACGTATAAGTGGGTCTTTACAGCAAAGCACAGCAGCTTCTCTCTTTCTATAGGGTCACATGTAAGAGGAAGCAACCAATTACCCTAGTCCTGAAACAGAGGAGGGGGCTTGGGTATTTCAGTGTGTAGGAGACCTAATAGGTTGTGCTATCACCACAGCATACCCCTCCATAAACAACCTGCTACCTGTTACTGTAAATAATGACACAAACCAGGCCCTTTTCGTAGCTTCCCACGAACCGTCTGTGCTCAGTCCTACAACAAAAAGGATTTACGTCACCGAGCCTAGTTTGTCTTGATTTAGGTTGAGTTCAGGCCCTGACCCAAATAATACCGGTTCTTGAGTAAATTTCCAAGTTGTCTGAATTCAGAACATCATTAATAATATGTTAGTTAAGACACTGGAAAGAGACAGACCATTTATTTCACAATGCGAGTTGTGTACGCTGATACATTAACAGGCTGCTTTATTAGAGACTCAATAGAAATCCAGTCTAATCCAAAAACACTAATTTTACAACCTTCTGAGTTTCTTTTGCACTACTCTGCCTGGTTTACACCCAATGTCATTTACCCATTATATTGTATATTGTATAGCTTTCTTGTTATATGTAAAATTGTATTGTATTTATTTATTTAAATTTTTACTTTTTAATTATTTTACCTGCATTTTTTAATCACTCTTATATTTAAATGTTCATTTGCTTTTTTTATCTAGGGATTGAGAGTAACGTAGTTTCTATTCTCTGTATGTCCTGTACATGTGGCAGAATTGACAATAAAGTTGACTTGACTTGACTTCTGTTGACATCAAAAGGCGGACAGTTTCTATTTTAGGTTTACTATTGAAGTCATACATTTTGTGGAAATAAAATCCACTCTGATTTCTATAATTATTTTATTAGTCCTTTATTTATCCAGGTTAAATTTTCACTGAGATTAAAAACTCATTTCCAAGAGAGACCTGGCATCATAATAAACATAATAAAGTAAAATCATCACCTTAGACAAAATTTACAAAAACTGAAACTTTGTAAATGTCTAAGAGCTGGTGTATTGGCCTGGAATAGAATTTACAGCTATATGTAATAAAGTGAACAAGTGTGTATCTCCCATTTTTTTCATCAAAAATGGATAAATGTGAGCCCACTGGGAAAATAAGCAGTATATATACCCCTTGCTATTAGTTTTACAAGTCCATCGCCTTGACCGCTCGGCCACAACAACCACATTCTATTAGTTTTACCTGGACCCATAAGTTAGTTAAATGAAGAACAGTGGTAGGCAACCTGTGAGCAGCAGGTTGTTAAAATTTCAGACTTGAAAGAGACAGGAGGCTTGTGTTAATTAATGGTGTCATTATTCTTAAATGGCTCCATTCCCCATTACTATTAATGTGAGTGCTTAAGGTGTAGTAGTATAAATAATTCCAGCCAAGCAGAAAGCAGTATGTGATGTGTTGTGTTACAGTGAAAGGGATTCTGCTCCCATACTCACATAACAGTAGTAGCACAGGAACACTATAGCTGTAAGCTATGTGACAGGAAAGCTGAATTGTACACCAAGTACATCAAGTCACTGGAGCTTCTCAGTATCTTATCATGTTCTTATTGAGCCAATAAAATGTCAGCTGATATCAGTTTGTTATTAAAGGTGAATAAGCAAGCAGCAATTTAATATTAATATTTTCACTCTGTAAAAGTTTTTATGGGGACATATAACAATAAATTTTAAGTAACCCTGATATTCACTTTTGCATATAAACACACCTTAGTTTTGGGACTGTGACTGATTTAGGTAACTTTCCAAAATTTAAAAACTACTGACGCTTTCACTGAAAATTAATTTAAGTTGTCATGGGGTAATTAACTTATAATCACTCGGGTCCATGTTTTAAAAAAACATCTAGACACTATGGGAAATTTTGCGTATGAACAAAGTTGCATAATTTCTTAGTGTACCAATATACTATTGCACATTGCAAAGTATGATTTAAAAAACAAAAGAGAAAGAAAAGTCTCACCTGACGCTTTAGCATGTCCTTGCACAATAGGTAAGACGTGAAACCCTTCTTCAATTTATCCCAAGTTCTTAATCCTGTTTAACAGAAAAGCAAAAAAAAAGTGCAAGACGCAAGTCACTGAGTGGGCCTTTTCCAACAGTACCTGACCTGCAGTTACTCTTGTTTATGTAACGCTGAACTATTTTCAACAGCAACGTACATACTCAGGGGTAATCATATAGCGTTGAATGCGGGAACAAACACCGTGATAGAGCCACAGAGTGAAACTGCGCTAAATCAGTTTCTTCTAAAGTCTCGAGCGACTGAAATCACAACAACTCAACTCTCGACCTTAACATTCCTCCTGTGTGTGCGAGTTTCATACCTCAGCTCAACTTTTCCCCATCAAGACCGAGTTGTTTTTAATCCTCTTTAGTCGTCGTTCGTCGTAGTCGTCGTCTTCATGCTCTTGCAAAGTATGTCCCCTCCATGTTGACGAGAGGCAGGTTAGCTTAGAAAGAGAAGACGAGCGCGCGGCACTAAACTCAGAAACGTGTGGAGACTTCGGGGAGAAAACGTTAAACTCGTACGCCCTTCCAGACGTTGGCTCTCACAGCAGCCGCGGTAGTAGCTAACGTTAGCGTGGCTAGCTTGGCTGCTTTAACCCTAAAACGCGGCACCAAGTTCAGCCAGCCCATTAACCGTTCTGCAGCCGAGCGCAACGAACGAGCTGCGGGGGAAACGGTTAACACGCAACTGGGTATCACTCAACAGGCAAATGCACGTGCCAAAATGATAATAACGCAATAACAGCGACGATACTCCGACGAGATTTAGGCTATCCCTCCTTCTTCAGGACCCAAATAGATGGCCATTACTTTTTTTTCTTTTTTTGTTATGCACCGCCCCCTCCCTAGGACCTCTACGGGAAAGAGGGATTTCCCCCCCAGCCCCTACGGCAACCAATCATGCTTGGGCTTGATGTGTCTCCTCCGTTGTGGTTGGCCACGCGTCTCTCAAGCTCTAATCTGTTCGGTGGGCTCCGGTGCCAATAACTTGGAGTTCCGTCCCCCTCAAACAGGGGTGTGTCGTGACGTCAAAGGTAACGAAGAGGTAAACAACTTTGACCGCGTGAGGTTTAAAGCGACACCGTTTGTCTGTGATCTCTGATTCAACGGAGACCCGGTGTGGGGATTACCGTGCTTAACATTAGACACGGTATGTCGTCCCAATAGGTGGAAATTGCCTCTCCCGGGCCGTGTTTTTTTCACCTACACAGGAATGTCTTTGTTTGCAGCTACGTGCAATATGAACAATATTGATTAAAAACGTAAATATTGCCACAACAGCATCGCAAACAATAACACACATCTGAAACAATAACAAGAGTTCAATCTGGCTATAAATCTTTTATTTTATGAATTTAACCCCGCGAATTTTTTTGACACTTCGCAGATGTGTGCAATGAGGCGTGCGTATCGGAGGGGTGTGTCTACTCTGCAGTACACTGGTAGGCTGGAGACGCAACGTCGCTGCATGGCGATGTTGCCATACATTTACAATACACCAGCGGTGGCCGAGTGTGCTAAAAAAAAAAACCCAACCCAAAAAACCCCTAGACGATTTCACAAGCAAAATACGGTCAGTATCTAGTGCATTTATTTATTTTGTATTCATTTGTTTATTTTGTCGTAATTTGAGTGACGTTTCTTCGGAAACCGGCTTTGTGCGTAAATAATCTCTGGGATGTAGTTAAAATGGTGGTGGTGTGTGTGGCATTAGGGCCAGCAGTGGGGGGCCTGAGTGAAGGTCAGAGGTGTGTCTGTAATGTAAACACCATAAAGGTCTTAGATGTGGAGGGGAGAGGGAAAAAGAGAGGCGGCCTATCCGGTCCCAAGTATCCTTTTCCAACTAATTGTAAAAACAAGCGGTAGATCTGCCAATTGCAAAAAAGAATGTCGATGTCAGTGCAGCTTTGAATATGATATTTTGTAAGCTCCTGTTCAAGTCGTAAAGAGTAATTTTTGCCGCTTGATAAGGCCTGTGTTTTACTGTAAAAAATAATACCGCTTTAGAATATATTGTGCATGAGCTTTACCATTTTATATGTTACTTGTTTGCGCTACCTTGAAATGATAATACAGGCACACACACACACACACACACACACACACACACACACACACACACACACACACACACACACACACACACATAGGCCTATCTTACAAAGTACATGGACATGTTGCATAGCCACCTCTGTTCATCAGATTGTATCACGTACTTTGCTGCCTCACAAGCCTTCCAATTATCTCTGCATTGATCTAACAGTGCTCGAGCCACAGTATATTGTGCACTGCTGTTCTGTTTTCTAAATCCCCTGCGAGTATAGCTTTGGCTCTAAAACAGCAAGAATTTTTTTTGCAACAAACATTCCCTAAATATTCTGGTCCATTCCTTGTCTGAGGGTTTTTACATTTGGTACCCCCTGTTTGGCAAGGATTAGCCACAGACCACTAAATAATTTGACTTGAACCATAAAACCCAAAGGTATGTGCAGAGTTCATTGTCGACTACAGATGTTTTTATGCCAGGTTTTCTATCTGCACCGCAGAACTAGCATATCCAGAGCCCGCCAGCACCTTAGATGTGTGTCATAAGCTTATTAGGTGTTGATTCATGTGCAGTAACTGGTAGTAAAGTGTGTGGGTGTTAGGTTAATGCTCATGGAGAGTTGATCCTTGTCCTGTGGCTTGGGCTATTTCCAAGTCTGGCACCAGCACTGGATCAAGCCATTCTGCTGCAAGGGGTTTATTTGGCTCCACAGCACCCATGTCAGACATGTATCCTGGCCCAGCCATTTTGTGTCCTCAAATGCTCCGGCCCTTCTCCGTGAGCTGGCTTGCTGTTTGGAAACCAGGAGAGTGGAAATAATAAATCAGAAACACTGACCCACTAAAACTATGGGAATAGTTTTCGTGGCACTAGTGCAGACACATAAATAACTTTCATAGTAACAGAGCTTAAACTGAAATATGCTCTAAGGACAGCTCGATTTCACTTTTGGCTATTATGCCAGGACACCAGCTGATCACACAGACAAACTGCAATGGGGCTTTATGTGCACTTTGTATATTATAATGCATTATAATATTTTTATTATAGCCACAAGTAAAATAATTTGCTGAAGTGACAAACTTTACAGAGCAACTGCAAATCTATTGTGCAAAATAGTGCTGATGCACTGAAAGTGGAAAATTAATAAATTACAGAGGACGTCTGAGGGACAGGCTCAGAGGTCTGACAGCAAATTGCAGAGCCTCCAAGGAAAGCCCAGCAATGCCAAATGTCACTGCCCAAACAAACACATTCTACATGTCTTTTGAGAAGAAGAAGAAATAGTATATCTAACAGTACTCAATTATCCAGAGTGATCAAGAGTGGCCTTGGGTCCACCAGATCATGTAAAGTACCTGAGAGCTTTTGGAGCTAGATTGTGAAATCATGTGTTGATCAGCTAGTAGATGTCCTGCTGTGCAATGCAGCATGCATCCATGTTATGCCTATGAAACTCAGGATATCCTGCTTGAGGCACTGCCACCCTGTTCCACTTACATCTGTCATCATCGCATGCCTCGGGCTGCTGGTCAGAGCCCTCATGGGCTCACTTCCCCCAGGCAGTGTAGACGGTCGGCACTTTAGACAAGCAGCAGATCAGCTAAGGGTGCCAGCACTTTAACCCCACAATGCACTGTCTCTCAGAGAGAAAAGCAACAAACTGTAAGTGAGAAGATAGTTGATTACAACAAAGCATTCATTATAATTCCCCTCATCCACAGGGGACCGTGTCTGAGCACCATTATGTGCAAGTGAATCCTATACTTGGTGACAGGCAGGCTACTGGTGGTGAAAATGGGCACTTCCTCCACTGTTGTTCTCAGCAATGCATGCTAACACCTACGGCAGTTCTCAGTGATCACACATATCTGTGGCAGAGCCTCATGTTTATCGGTCTGAGAATGACACAACAGCCGCCACAGTTCTCACTGACGAAGAAAAAAGTCTAAATATTTCTGCACCTAAGCAACAGTCCAGCTTTTGAGAAAAAGAAAACCACAAAACACATATCTGGATGCAGAAATCACAAACATAAATCTGACAGTTTTGGATAAAAATATAGTCATGTTATATAAAAAATACATTTTTATGTAGAGATGTAAATCCATCCACATATTTCTTGTGATATGGTTTCAAGTGATGAGAGTGGAAGTAAATGCGGCCATTGCCAGGAAAGAAGAGCCCCGGTGACAGGGGAAGATGAAAGGCATGATGCTGGGATTCAGGAAGCAGCAAGGACAAGGAGGAAACAACATGATCAATATGTGTGACGTGGAGTCAGCACTTTTCGGTTCCTTTGGCTCAGTATTACTGGGTAATGTAAACATCAAATTCAACATGGCTCTGAACATCTTTAGAACCTTTGAATCTGCTTGAATGAGAGTAACTGCAGCAGCTGCATCACTGCATGGTGTCCGGGCTGCGCCATGCTGAACTGTAAAACTATACAGCAGGTGATGTAAACAGCACTGTTTTTCAGCGGCAATAAATGGCCATCCCTCTAGGACATTTACCACAGGAGGTGTGTGAAGGAGAGCAATAAAGTCAGGGAGGACCAAAAGCAACCCAGTTCTCAACTTTGCTTTCTTCTTCTTCTTCTGTTTTTTTTTTTTTTTTTTTTAATTTAAAATCGCTGCTAGAATTTAATTTGCAGAGCTAGCAGGTTCAGAACAGTATAACCATCAGTCTGGTAAATTAATAACTGAATATCGCCTTTGCCCATTCCACCTTCAGTACCTGTACTACTATATACTAATTTTAATGTACCTTTGTTTGTATGGTCTGTTGAAGTCAACAAAACAAATGCAGTTCTTATTATATGTGACTTAAGACTTTAGTGATCTTTAGTCTGCATTCACTCTCTGACTTTATAAATTCCTTTTTCAGCTTCATTTTTTAAAATGTATTTTATAAATGTATTTTTTTTTAAAATAATTACTCGGGGTTGGGCGTTAGGACATGGAAGCTGTTCCTGGACTTTATAAGCCACGCACACGCAAACACACATTGAAGACAGTTACGTGAGTTGTTACATGATCCGCTTCTTGACTAGGGTGCGGCGAGACCAAGCATGTTTTTATTCACAAAAAATCTTAAAGAGAAATCCTGGACTTGTACTGTTTTCCCTTCAGAACCTCGCCAGGAGCAGCAATGTGGAGATCCAGTTGCTTATTAAAGTTCCTCTAGTTCCCTCTTCTGGAAGAATCAGGAAGGACATGTCTACTCGTCACACGTGGGTCCTTGTGATATAACAAAGCAACAGTACTAAAGCCCACAGGGTTACATTGCTTCAGAACAGCATAGAGCTATTCAGCCATAAATCCCTGCGTGCCTGCCAGAAAAATGCATTTTTATGCAGCAGTTGAGCTTATTCCAGCAATCGTAACAAAGAAGCCTTTTGTTGTTTCAAAGAAACGAACGGGGGAAACATACACAAGCATAAGCAACTTATGGCTCTCAACCCTTTCAGGTGATTTAAAATTTGAATATTGGACAGAGAACCTGCTAAACAACTGGGCTTGAAAAATACATAGGTGTGCGGTTATTAAGTACCCTGGAACGCCTGATGTAGTTACTGTGTCGTTATGTTCATTACACAAACCCTTACCTCAGTACACTTTGTCCATGGCGCTTCTAGTGTCGATTTGAGTTGATGGCTTGCGACTTATTTTCTTGGATTAATAATTTCAAATGTATGTAATATTTCTCACCTATAATGCTATTGGTTAAAAATAAAGCCTCGCTTTTCACATGCATAA